ACTGGGAATGCTGGGGATACTGGAGGTACTAGGGACACTGGGGGACTGAGGACACTGGGGATACTTGGGGTACTGGGAATACTGGGGACACTGGGATACTGGGGGTACTGGGAATGCTGGGGGACTGAGGACACTGGGGATGCTGGGGATACAGGGGGTACTGGGAATACTGGGGATACCGGGGGTACTGGGAATACTGGGGATACCGGGGATACTGGGGATACTGGATACTGGGGGTATTGGGAATACTGGGGATACTGGATACTGGGGGTATTGGGAATACTGGGGATACTGGGGGTACTGGGAGTACTAGGGGTACCAGGGATACTGGGAATACTGGGGATACCAGGGGTACTGGGGATAATGGGGGATACTGGAATGCTGGGGGATATTGGGGACACTGAGGGACTGAAGACACTGGGGATACCAGGGATAATGGCGGATACTGGGAATGCTGGGGGATACTGGGGACACTGGGGGACTGAGGACACTGGGGATATTGGGGTACTGGGGATACTGGGGATCCCACCAACCTTTTATCAAAATATCATCTTAGCATTTAAACAGGTCTCTCATTTTTTGGAGGCATTTGGAGGCATCATCCCCTATTTGTTTAACTCCCAAAAGCATTTCTGCTCCCCTCAAAACCTGCTCTGCACCCCCAAAACCTGTTCTGCCCCCCCAAAACACTCTCTGTCCCCCCAGGCGACACAGCCTCCAACCTGGGCAGCGCCGTGGACGAGCTGATGCGGCACCAGCCCACGCTCAAGACCGACGCCACCACCGCCATCATCAAGGTGACAACCTGGGGACACTTGTGGGACTTCAGGGACCCCCAAAAATCTGGCCAGGCCCCCCCCACCCCTAAATGCCATCCCCTCTGCAGCTGCTGGAGGAGATCTGCAGCCTGGGCCGGGACCCCAAGTACATCTGCCAGAAGCCGTCGATGCAGAAGGCGGACGGGACGGCGGCCGCGCCGCCCCCGCGCTCGCCCCACGCCGCCGAGGAGGCCTCGAGCGAGGATGAGGAGGAGGAGGAGGTGCAGGCCATGCAGAGCTTCGGGGCTGCCCAGCAGAGCGAGGCAGAGCCCAGCCAGACGTGAGCAGGACAGGGCGGGCTGGGGGCGTCTGGGGTGTCCCTAAAGATCTGGAGTGTCCCCAGGTCACTTCAGTGTCCCCAGGGGTCTCTGTTCAGTGCTGGTTTATGGATGGTCTGGGGTGGAGGGGATCCTGGGGGAGCTGAGGAAGGGTCTGGGAGATCCTGGGGAAGAGTCTGGGGGAGCTGGGGAAGGGTCTGGATGATCCTGGGGCAGCTGAGCAGGGGTCTGGGGGATCCTGGGGAAGCTGGGAAAGGGATCTGGAGGGTTCTGAGGGAGCTGGGAAAAGGTCTAGAGGATCCTGGGGAAGCTGGGGAAGGGTCTGGGGGAGCTGGGGAAGGGTCTGGATGATCCTGGGGCAGCTGAGCAGGGGTCTGGGGGATCCTGGGGGAGCTGGGAAGGGGTCTGGAGGGTTCTGAGGGAGCTGGGAAAGGGTCTAGAGGATCCTGGGGGAGCTGGAAAGGGGTCTAGAGGGTTCTGAGGGAGCTGGGAAAGGGTCTAGGGGAGCTGGGAAGGGTCTAGAGGATCCTGGGGGATCTGGGGAAGGGGTTCAGCTTGGAGAAAAGAGACCAGGGGAAAATTTAGGCTGGAAATAGGCAAAAACTTCCCAGGAAGGTCTGGCAGAGAGGAGTTAAAGCCAAGCCTGAACGTGACACTTGATGGTGATGGGATGGTCTCAGAGATCTCTCCCAGCCTCATTAACTCTGATTTTATGTCCTGGGGGGATCGCACTCCCCTCACCATCCCCTCTGTGCTTGCAGCGTGGTGGGCACGGAGGAGCGCATCCCCATCCCGCTCATGGACTACATCCTCAACGTGGTGAGGCCCAGCACTGTCCCTGTGGGGTCCCCCTAGTCCTGACCCCCCTCTGAGGGGGTTCAGAGCCCCCCTGACCCCCTTTTGTCCCAGATGAAGTTCGTGGAGTCCATCCTGAGCAACAACACCACGGACGATCACTGCCAGGAGTTCGTGGCCCAGCGGGGGCTGCGGCCGCTCGTCACCATCCTGGGGCTGCCCAACCTGCCCGTGGACTTCCCCACCTCTGCAGCCTGCCAGGCCGTGGCTGGGGTCTGCAAATCCATCCTGGTACGGCTGGGGGGCTGCAAATCCTTCCTGGGGGGCTGAAAATCCATTTTGGGGGGTCTGCAAATCCATCCTGGTATGGCTGGGGGGCTGCAAATCCTTCCTGGGGGGCTGAAAATCCATCCTGGTATGGCTGGGAGGCTGCAAATCCTACCTGGGGGGGCTGAAAATCCATCCTGGTATGGCTGGGAGGCTGCAAATCCTACCTGGGGGGGCTGAAAATCCATTTTAGGGGCTGCAAGTCCTTCCTGGGGGGCTGAAAATCCATATTGGGGGTCTGCAAATCCATCCTGGTACGGCTGGGGAGCTGCAAATCCTTCCTGGGGAACTGAAAATCTGTCCTGGAGGGTTGCAAATCTATCCTGGTATGGGCTGGGGGCACTGTGGGGGCTGAAAATCCATCCTGAGGGTCTCGGGGGTCTGCAAATTCATCCTGGTATGGACCCTGATGACACTCTCTTTGTACCCCCTGTGTCCTCAGTCGCTGTCCTGCAAGCCCAAGGTGCTGCAGGAGGTTCAGTGACCCCCATGAGAGTTCAGTGACCCTGATGTCCCCCTCTCTGTCCCCTAGAGTCTCTCCCCCGAGCCCAAGGTGCTCCAGGAGGGTTCAGTGACCCTCAGGAGGGTTCA